AGGTTGTTAGGGCATACCAAAACGGTAGTTTCTTCGTTAAAGCAATCATAAAATATCCGCGAGCAGTTGCTCTTTGGGTTTGGGTATTGACTGTTCGACTTTCCGCTACAGTTGAACAGCGCTTCTGAAAATGAGTCTGCATTCATGTAAATTATTGAGTTATGCGGTTACCTGGGGTACCGTTGACGCAACCAGGAACCGTTTCAGGAGGAAGGCACTCGTTCATTTCTGAGTGATAATGTAAATTCAAAGGGCATGCAAATTCAATGGCAGTGCCGTTAATACAATCGTAGAATATTTGTGAGCAGTTCTTCGAAGGGTCCGGATACTGACCATCTTCAAGGCCGGAACAGTTGAACACGCCTGAAACTTGTCACAGAATAAAATGCCATTTTTCTGCACAAGCTTACGCTTTAGAAATTTTTCATCAGCTCTATCGTCATTCGATATTTACTGAGCCATATTTATTTGAGCCCAGACTGTCCCTGTCACTTTCAAGACGTCTTACCAGGGTTATGAATTCTGATCGAGTAACAGTCGTTTTAAGCTGTTGCCCTGTTATTTTTGTTGCGGTTAAGAAAACTCATTAACACAGGTATACAAATTTGAATATAGATCAGACAATTAACTAATATATTTTCAAAACCTCGTACATTCCTGTGGGCTGTATTTTCCAGTGGTGACCGTCAATTTCGTAAATCGTGTTAAAGACAAATACTTATGAAGATTTCCAGAAGAGTCCAGCCTTTAACTGAATTAGTAAAGAATTAACCTTAGCTACAAGTGACGGTTGTTTCCCTAGGAAAACTTATCACCGGTAAGGCATACCAGATGGCCAAAGTAAATTGAGACACGAAAACAGAATGAAGGCGTTTGGAAAGAGTGTACCAATCCGTTAAATAAAAACCACCCGTGCTCCTGGAAATAATCGTTTTCAGCATGTTAATGCTATTTTCTTTCTAGATGGATGCATGGATGAAAAATGGTAGGCTATTACAAACAAAATGGTGTACAAACATTTGAACACCTACGACGTAGGTGTTCAAATGTCACCTGAATCTCCAACGAAACCGGATGAACAATGCACTGAAAAGACATAGGATGACCATAAAAGAAGAATATCAAAACCTGAACTATTAGGAAGCTCGAATGGATTCTAGGAAATAATAAAACGATGACAATGAACGATTAAAATCAGCAGTGAGATGAAACTTTTAATAAGTTGGCACCTATAACTCCAGTGCAGGTTTCGAAGCGGTCGTTGATATCCGGTTATTTGAGCCTCACTGTCAATTTAATGGCTCTTTTGAGAACCGCAGACAAATGCCTCCTCAACGAAGTACTTAGTGCCATGTCGATTTTCCCAGAACAAAATGTTTTGCAGTAGTCGCACTCAGGTTGCGTGTGTTTGCTAGCGTGTGCATACCACTGCAGGTAACTCGCCGACCTGCACCCAGTTGAGTTCTCTGCTTCGAAAGTTAATGCTGCGCAATCGAAGCCTTGTGAAGTTACTGATTTGATTATGCAGTTCCTACATGACTCAGTTGAGCAACTTCTACGAAGAATACATCATCCCGGAAATCGCACCTGCTGAACACTCTCATTGTCTACATCCAGATCGACACTAGTTTCTATCAACAGCGATGAGAGTATATAGGCAACCAAGTCAGTATATAATGTCTTAAACAGATGAAGCATTTTGTAGATCACTAATCAAGTTGAAAATCAGATTTCCTATTAATCGCGGCAGAGAAAAACACGAAGAGGTTAAAC